TGAGAGTTGGGGGTATAACTGAAAGAATATGTACGCATCTATTTCTGTATTTTGTGGTATTGTAAAATATGTTTATGCTGAGATCTTAAGCTATGCATTTGTGCAGCAAGCCTTTCTTTTTAGTTATTTTGCAGTACTAGCTATTTTGGACCTAAAACCTTTATCTTTAATTTATTAGAGTTCCATATGGCTTTTGAGTGATCACACTGGAATAACTGTGGGTGTTTGACATGTCTCCATACTAATCACCCAGAGGTGCATCCGGAAGCATGAGCTAATTCCTGGGTTGGAGTAAACAGTCAGTTTGTTTCTCAATCAGTATCTATAGACCATAGTGGTATCATTTTCTCATACATCTTTCTTTCAGGTTGATCTTCCTCTCAGTCTGGAACCATTTCGTAGCAGATTGTCAATAGAGCGATTTACAGTAATAAGACTGTTATTGTACATGTGCGCATCATATGGGTTTATAGCATGATGCTCATATGAGTCTATAATGATCTATTTTTGATCCTTATGCACCTTAAACTTTGTTTACCTTAATCCATTTAATAACCATTCATCAGTAGTGGAGCTGGAAATTAATATTGTTTCTGAGTCTTCATTAGGAGGTTTAACTATCTTCCTGTTCCCTGAGTTTTTGCCTAAACTGATTTCCCCCTCATAACTCCCACATATCTCAGGGCTCCTTATAACCTTATGGTTCACTATTTCTTGTTACATCTCTCACATTTACTTGGATATTGGTTGGTCCTTGGGGTTCTTTTCTCTTTTTTCTGAATATTTTATCTTCTGTCCACAACCTATGTTTCTTCTTACGCTTCTTGGATTTGACTGGATTTCACCAAATACCTGTTAACCTTTTTATGCAATGTTCTTTTGTGTCGTTTTATTAACTGGCCTTCATTTGGTTTCAAGCATCATCGATCATGTCACATTTAGGTCAGACCTTGCTTCTTCCTTCCAATTTGTTCTTTGTGATATGAAGTAAGCAAGCCCTGTTTACTAGTTAATTTTTACTTTGTTTATTTCTCCCTGTAGATGTCTGATTTCTTGCAGACTGATAAAGCACATAGATTCCTTGCCAATTTTTTCATTCTCGAAGATTATGGACCATTCGTCATAGACTCATAGTACTCTGTACATTCTCAAAAATCTTTTAAGGACACTATATTCATCTATTTTTCCCCATGAGACTTGGGGATCTATTTGTTTGAGGTAGGTTGATACCTAATTTGACAGTGTATGTAACTACTGAAGTTTTTTATAAAGATTCTATCCTCGAAAAAAGAAGCAAGACATTATCCTACGTTTCTTGTTCTCAAGCTGAGTACAGAGATCCGGACTTGTAGATCGTGATTTCTTTTTTACCTTACTAGGGATGTCTCTTCTGCTCATGGATAAGTCTTTTTAATTAGGATTCATCTGAATGCACTTTTTGGAAAGTAATTTTATACACTTAGATGGTTGGTTCTTTTGAAATATTAAGTGCTTGTGAGAGAAGTCAATGTTTGAGAAGATTTGTTAGGAGAAATTTGTATAGAAAGGATATACGAGGGAGAACTTAGACAAGGCCGAGTCAAAAAATAAAGTGAGGACCATGAGAAATCACGTAGTAGGTTTATTAGAATCATTTTTCATTTCTATAGTGAACACAAATTCTCCCATTGCATATGTTGAATCCCTTGACATTATATTATTATGTTTGCATAAATAAAATAAGGACACTATAACCTCTTTGTCTGCACAACATTTTCGCTTAATTACCAAATTGGTATTTTTTGTGACCGCGCTTAATCGTTTGGCATTAAAAGTTTCTCCAACGACTTTTTGGTAATTAAAGTCTTAACCATTCTGCAATTAGGGATATTCCTTTGCCGCTGATGGAAATTTGCGAAAATGTTTGTCAATTTCAAACACATTTATAGGAAAAAACTATGTTTCATTCAATTAAATACTAATAATCATCCTGCTAACCATCTACATCTTTAAAACCCCATCAGAAATCAAGAAATCTATAACTTTGTCTATGCCTTGTCATCTAAATCCATCCACGTTAGAGTTCTAATAACCCAAAAATTAAGTCACGTGAGGTCACAAGCGATTTTCTCGCCAAGTTTTTCATCGGTGGCATAAAAAAAGTCTAATTGCATATTTGGCATACCTTTAATAATAAAAATTCGCCGGAGAAATTTTTAATGCCAAACCAATTAAGAAGTGTTACAAAAAATACCAATTTTACATTTTGGCCTGACATTCTGTATCTTATTGTCTTAAAAGTGGAGAAAACCATCTTTACTTATGAAAAATTTAGATAAGAGTTTTTAAAGAGGGGAGGGGAAGGATTAGAGAGATTAGGATAATATCCCCTTAAGAATTAATTTAGCAAGGGGAAGTAAAGGGAGGGTTAAAAATAAACAAATTCACTTACTCTTTTAGCCTTCCAAAAGTGGACGGATTGGGAGGGAGGGATTGAGTTTAAGTGAAACTTTCTCAATATTCCAATTGTATCCTTAGAGAAATAAAAAATCTATATGCCTATTATTCTCTCAACAAGGATATATTCGTCACGTAGTTTTCCTCCCTTTTCATTCTCTGCTCTAAACAAATATAGATTGGAGTGTACCCTCTCTTCCCTTTAATTTCTATCCAAACACAACTAGTTTTATTTTGTCTCTTCCCATTCAACTAGGGGTGACAAATTATGATCTGACCCATCAACCCGACCCAACCCGACCCATTTATAATGGGTGTGGGTCAAGTTATATGAGTCAGGTCATAAACGGGTCAACCCAAATTTACCCATTTATAAATGGGTCAATTCGGGTTGATCCGTTTATGACCCATATGAGTTGAAAAAAGGACCTCCTCCTTCATTGCCGGTAGCGTTTTCTTCTCCGTCTGAGATTTGGGCAGGCTACCACGCTTCCTCTTAGCGACGAGAGCGCTATTGGCGGAGTCAGGCGAGGGCTCCGTCGTCTCATCCTCGTCCTCGGGCTCCGCCGCCGTCGGGGGGCCAGGGGGCGGGATCTCTGATGAGATTTGTTCTTTCTTCTTTCATTGAATCCTTTTGCCCTATTTCTGAGAACAGCTCACGATGAAACTTTAAAACAGTAAAGACTTTGATACCCAGAGTCTTCGGCCGGCGATCGCCCTCGCCGGCTACTGCATCTGCTGAGCTTATCATGGATACTACCAAGAACGCGCGTTCGATCCTCTTGGTCGTCTCTTTAAGGGCTGGAGAAAGGCAAATCTGAGGTTTTTTGCTCGCTGATTTCGGCAGAGGTCGAGCTAGGGTTTGAGGCGCGAATGAAGCTGGAGAGGGAAAACTGCGAGGGTTTTTTTAGAGAAGGGTTCGAAGGAGGAGGAGGAGAAGCTGAGGCCTTGCTTGAACTTGGCAGCGCCTTCGCCTTTGCGCGTGGGCTCGTCGTAGTACGCTGCAGCTTTTTCTTCCTCCATTGAATACAGAAAATGGACTTGTGCTTTGATTCTTGAGATTCGGGTAGGAATTGGGGATTTTTTAACACTTTGATACCCAGAGTCTCCATCTTGATACCCTGAAAATGTCATTTTAACACTCTGATACCTAGAGTTTGAGTTCAATTTCACATTGATGCGTATATATTGTTTCAAATTTCAGTAATTTGTATGACGCATTTAGCTAATTCTAGAGTATCAACGTTAAAAAGAGATGTATATTTTGTGATATCAAAGTGTTACAAATAAAAGAAAACTTTATTGAGATGGTGTAAACTTTGGGTCATTCGGGTTATATGGGCCGGGCCGGGTAACCCGTTTAATAAACGGGTCGGATCACACTGACCCATTTATTAAACGGGTCAGGTTGGGTCACAACTTATACGGGTCGGGTCAACTATGACCCGACCCGACCCGTTTGCCACCCCTAATTCTTCAACCCCTCCCCTTGGATTTACTTGTATCAATTCCCCTCCCCTTCATATTTTGTATCCAAACTCTCTGTTTAAGGGAAATTCTAATTGGTCCGAAAGTAATAATATTTCTGTTGTGATTTTTTATTTTCGTGAAAGCTAACACAGTCCTGTTATTTGTAGTGAAAAATATAGTTTTGAGTATTAAATCATTTAATGCTTTACCCAAGTATTTAGCAGACACACTTTGATACACATAGTGATGGGAGATGGCTTTTGCGATAGAGCTCAGTCATTGAAAGCTTGGGATAGTTTCCTTGAGTGTTTACTTTTACGCCTAAAATTTTGCAAATTTAACTCTTTAATTTTATGTTCTCAGCTTCAGTTCTTCTTTTTTTCTTCCAAATTTAGCCTCTGAAGCTAACCTTAAAATTCCAGCATTGGCTCCATTTTCATCTTTTTCTTTTCTATTTGTATGTATTAAAACCTTCCTTCCACCCTTTCCCCCTTTACACTTTCTATGAATTAATTATATTGATTACCAAGTCTCTTCAAAAAAATCTAAGCATTGTAATGCTTCATTTTCTTATTTATCGTGCATATTATTTTTGTATATTATGCAAAATTATTGGAATTATTTGAAACATTCATGAAGCTCATGCATTTTGATGTGAAGTTATGTCAGTTGTCTAGGTCTAAGAACATAATTTTACGTTTTAATCTGCAACGACTAAACTTCAGCAACTTTTCATTAGGGTGAACCATAAACACCTGTCACATAGCTAACATTTGTATTCATTCAGGACTTAATGCTTTTCATTCATCCACTATAAACGTTTGGCAACTGTTCTTGAAATCCATTAATTGAAATGGGTTACTCTTTACTATATCATATCTATGTAACTGCAAAACACATACTTTGTGTCCAGCAGTTGTTGGGTACCAACACACCATGTCACCAACACTTGTAGAACATTTGTCCGATGCCTGAGACTGTAGAGTTATATCAGTTCAAAGGAACCAAACCTCCTGATTAGACCAGTGCCAACTTTAAAGAAAGGGTTTAAGGTTGCATGCACGGCATTTGTAGCTGAGCCTAGCTTCAGTAAAACAATAAAAATGGAAAATTGGCATTGTATAGACTTAAATCAAAATAAATAACTCCTAGACATGTGAGAGGCGTCATGGACTCAATTAGGTCCTGTGTCGGATTGAACTTCCAGAGATTTTTTTAGTTCAGATTAGAATCTAAAGATGTCAACTTTTTTCCCTGTTTGCATTTGATTATGCTAAAAGTGGCAAATCTTTCTTGCTGTTAGTATATACGCATAAATAACCTAACATTATTCTGATGTAAATCAGGTCAAAGGAAATTCCTTTCAGAAGAAGCTCTCTCAGTTATTTGGTTCAGCCATGAATGCAGCAGAGGTAAATACATGGTTTGTACTCTAATTTGTGAACTAAGTCAATTTAGTATACGATATTGTTCGCAGTGACACAAATTCTCAAATAGTTTAGCAGCATATATGGCTTAGGCTTCTTTTCGTAGAATCGGATTATGTAAAAAGGATTAAAATTGTTAAGCTATAGTGTATTTCTCAAATAGTTAAGTCAACATAGATACTGTCTACCTGATTTGTTGTGTCCAGTGTTACCTGGGTACTTCTAGTTGGAACCTGTACCCGTATCCGACACGTGCCCAGACCCATACCCATACACGTACCCAAACTTCTTGAATATATGCAAATGTTTATTCAGGTAAACATGCTTTAATTTAAAACATTCATCGTACACTTCTCGGATGCATATTCTACACTTCACATCTATTTCTCTTATAACGATCTTACGTAAATTGAAAAACTATATTGATCTTATGTAAATTACTAATTTAAAAAATATAAATATGCATAACATGCATATATATAGCCATAGCCCAGTACCTACATCTCACAAATTTGCTGTGTTCTGTACCTGTACCCGTACCCATCCCTGTGCAATTTAGGTTGTGTCAAACTCTTTTTCTTAAAATGTTTTGTCACTCTTATCTTGTGAATTAGACAACATAGATTTCTAGTCTGCATGTGATGTCTTATTAATGTACTCATTGTGTTCCAAGCAAAAGAAACTTGTGAAAAATGGTTTGTACATGCTAATTTGTGCTTATCAACCAGACCAAATAACAATGTACATGACAATCTGCTTAGTTTTTGTGCACATTCTGTGAAAAAAAAACTTGTTTAGTTTACATATTATTGAAAGTACATTACTACATTTTCTGTGTGTTGATTGATCATTTGAAGAATTATTGAGTAGAGAGGGCAGTTGGTTCACGCTTTCATAATTTTCATTACATTTCTGCAGTCAAACGACAAATCAAACAACTCACCCCAAGGTGGACCCAGACAACGGGCAGAAGCTTTAGCAGCTTTAACTTCTGCATTCAATCCATCGAGCAATGTATGTGTTCATTTATCTATCATAGGACTTTTTATGAGTAGAATAAATTCGTTCAGCCTTCATATAATTGATGATTCATATTCAATCTGTTAAGGAATATTGGTACTCATATGCATATTATACAATTTTTAATGAAAAAATGTTGTTTAGCCTTTGTACCATTCTTGATATATCGCAGCCTAGAAGCAAGTCTTATGGGTCAACTCAAGGTAGTTACACTCAAAGGGCAGAAGCATTGGCAGCCTTATCCTCTGCTTTTAATCCTTCAGCTAAAGAAAAAGCTGCAGCACCAAAGCCAACTCGATCATCAGGGGGGTCACAGAGAGCTGCTGCAGTTGCTGCATTGTCTACTGTCTTGACAGCTGAACAAAGGAGAGAACAATCTGAAGCTGCCAAAGGTCGTTTAAGCCGTGGCTCTTCCCTAGATGCACCAAATGCCGGTAATATATCACTTTACCTTGAAGTGATAATTTCTTTGATATGAGAGACCGTGTTATACTTTTTTAATGTCCTTAGTAAACTGTCTTATCATAATGTTACAATGGTTTTGATGTGGCTATGCTCTTCCATTATAATTGAACCGCTGACCTAAATCAGCTGCCTGGTTACCTAATTTTCCTTCTAGACCAGAGCCTCCCTAGAAGGCCTGCCTGATGATATATGATTAGAGCATAAAAAGGGATGTAGTAGAAGAGAAGAAAGGTAGCATCGAATGATAAATGGAGAGAAACAGACATAGAAGGTGGGGGTTGAATATATTTTTCAATAATTTAAGGCTTTCAGATATTGGTAACAAAATTAAATGTTTAATGTTATTTTCTTCAAGCAGTTATACTTTATATGTTTGAAGTATGATCATGAGTACATGATATATGATTTGACTCGGACATTAAGGATGTGGCAAATTTAAAAAACTAGGACATGGATGCATCAATGGATACTAGAAGTGTATAATCAAGTGAAATTATCTATGGAATACAAAGTCATGAAATACACCAGAACCAACACGAGAGGATACAAATGCATATAGATAATGCAAATCGTAAAAGGTTATGATAAAGATACAATGTGAATACAACATATTGGTGACCTGTTAATTTGTTAGATGAATAAACATATCCTTTACCTATAAATTGGAGAAGTTATATTCGAATCTTCTATTATCTCTATATACAGAAAATTCCTTTTTTTTTGAACAATTCTAACATTCCCCAGCGCTGGAACATTTTTTAAAAAACTTTGTTCCTTAGACCACTGGAGATATTCTCCGACTTTAGGGAATATTTAGATCTCTTTTAGTCAGGTTAAAATATCAACGATGCTCCCTATAGTTTTTCCTGTATGTTAGACTATTTTCTGTGATAAGTAGGCTATTTTCCAATGTGAAGCATCTTCGTTTGTCATTTTAATATTATAAATTGGTTGTAATTTGTTGCACAGATGAGGCAAGCAGCGAGACTACAAGCCCCTTACTTGGCGATGTTGAAGAAAGTCCTGTAACAGGGGATCCCCTTGAAATTTCAGTGGATGAAGGCACAGGAGAGGAGGGATCCATCTCTTATAATAACGGTGCTGAAAATGAGGAGAACGATGATTCACAAACTGCAGATGAGGGACAGATATTCAGTTACGAACGTTTAAGAGCCAAATCGCGCAACCCTGTGAGAGGAATTGATTACAAACGAAGAGAGGTCTGTGCTAAGTTGAAACTTTTTTCCATGTGGTATTATGCCTAATTAGCACTTAAATACTTTCTAGTTTTTCATACATTGCATGTATAGACTCACTTATTTTTGGCGGCACTTGTATACCCTAAAGTTTTAAAATTGACACTTCATAACATAAGACGCCCCCCCCCCCCACAATAAAATATTCCCATGTGACATTCACATGCTAATTTTACAACTTTCTAGCCCTTAATGTTTGTTGCATTTACCGTTAAACCTACCCAAAATATATCTTGAACCTACACCAATAATATTAAAAAAAAAAGAATTGTGACAGGTTTTAACAGTAAATTTAACAAAGCTAAAAATAAAAAATTTCTTAAAATCAGCATGTGGGCATCACATGGAATATTCTCACATTTACATAAAATAAGGCAGTAGCATGCCAATTAAGAAACTTGAGGGGAGATAAGTGTTGCCAAAATCAAGTGAGGGTATATAAGTGCAAAGTAAGGAAACTGTAAGGTATTGAAGTGCTAATTAGCCAACATTTATCGTTTCAGTATGCTAAGTTCTCTTACTCTGTAGACTTACCTTTCTGATGCTGAGTTCGAGACTGTTTTCGGGTTAACTAAAGACGCGTTTTATCAACAACCCAAATGGAAGCAGGACATGCAGAAAAGAAAGCTGGATCTCTTTTGATTGGAGGCAGTTCAGATTTTGGAATGATTTATAGAAGTTTGTATTCTTATTACTTTGTCGGCTCCTCCTTGGTGTTTTTTTTTTGTTGTTGTTTGGAATGCTGGTGATTCATGTTCATCTGCTGCCTCCGGTGGTTTCTCCAAAATATGGTGTAGGTTATTCTTTTATTTGTGACTAGCATTTGCTGGTGTGGGTTTGTTCACTAGAGTGATTCCTTTTGCATGTATCTCTTCTTTGTGAAATCATATGTTTTATTGTGTATTAAATGAATAAAGGAGTGTTTAATTATTCTGCCTTCTTTTGATATCAGTCTGCTTTTTTTTTTTTTTAATGTGAGATGTGGAGGCATTACGCCATGCGAAGTGACCGAGTTTTATGGTTCGTTATAATGTAACTTCAGGGCGAGCTATTCATGTGCTATTCGCGCGCAATTTATGTGTTCTCGGCCATGAATGACGATTTAAATGGTCGATGGTTCTCGTTTCGTTTGTGTTTTGTGTGATGGACGAAGAAAATGCAATTATGTGCCCCCGGCCAGCAAACAATGACGTCGACTATGGAAGACCAAAAGACCTGCTTGTTATATCTGACTTCCTAAGTTGTCATTTTAGACTTTGTGTAAGATTTAAGAAGTAGTAGAAGTTTTCATTCTCAGCCGTCTTCAGACGTCTAGAACTTCAAATCTTGTGATTTTTTTTGAGAAATCTTTCGTACTTGTGAAGATTACTTATTTTTATTTATTTACACTCGAAGAAACGCTATACCTCCCGATGTTAGTTTCTCTCTCTCTCGTGCCGCCAATGTAAATATCTCGAATATTTGGACCATGAGTCATTCTGAGCCGTGTGGTTTTGGATTATGGATTATTTTAGGGGAAAACGCTTTCAGTTGGTGTTTAAGAGCTCTCTTGTGCGCTTCCCTTTGACTAAAGTTAAATCTGTCCAATCTCCCTTTCCTTAAAATAAATAAGATGGTTTTTTTTTTTGCTATATCATAGATCACCTCTCAAAAATGCGTAGTTGCTAATTTATTCATACATCTCTTAATATGCGTAGGTCTAAATTAGCATATATGTAGATTTGATGGGAGATGTGCAAATCGGATAGATTTTGGTCTATACAAGAAAATTTTCTTTACTTTTTAGTGAAGATATTTTGTCATTTTACCCCTTCTTAGTTTGAAGCTTATCAGTATTACATGACAAGTTATTTTAACCAAATGTCAATGGATGTAGGGGTGTTCAGGAATGAAGAGTAAATCTGTAAACTAAGACAGATTTGGGGTACATAAGTGAAAAGAGTTATTTAGATATCAGTCCCCCAAATGTTCAATAATTCCATACCATTGGGGGAATTATGGGAGCACACGGGCACCACACACAATAAGGAGCGTAAGCAACAAAACAACACAAAGAGGTTTTCACGTGTTTTGGCCAAACATTGCCTACATCCACCATCTCTCACCCACCAATACAACTAATACAACCGATCCAAGTTTTGCATGGAAACATATCTCACATCTCGTAAGGAACTTGAGAACACTTACCGCTCAAGAGCTTCAAGAGAGTTGTCATCACATTACACTCAAGGCACTCGAATACGCCGATCACTCAATAGCTCTAAGAGGATCCTTGTCTTGCTTGGAAGATGACCATTCTCAGCGCTAACACACCCTTTTATAGTCTCCAATAAGAAGTTCAAGAAGCTAACCATAAATGCATCATTTCATCTTCCTCTGCATTAGTACTTCAAATTTTTACCTTTTGCATTCTTCAAAATTGACTAGCCTTTCAATCTTCCTATTCAACGCAATGCACTCCTCATTTATGAAATTTGGGGAGAATCCCAATGCATATTAGTCCCTCAAATCTTAATAATTGCTCGTTAGTCCCTCAAATCCTAAGGTGTATTGCAATTTGGTCCCTTAGTTACCAAAATACCCATTTGTTATGAATTCTCCCTTAAATTCCATACCCTTCAAAAAGATTATTTGCACTTTGATATTCAAAAGTTTACACCTTTTTAACCTCAATAATCTTTTTTGGCACTTTGACGTTGAAAAGTTTTTACCTTTTATTTTTTATACACTAAAGTTTTGTATTTAACCCTTTGATACCAAAGGTTCCGTATTTTTTAATTTCGATACCTCAAACTTTGCTTTTGACACTTCGATACCCCACATTTTATTGCAATAAAGTTAAAAAATGTGTAAAATTTGGGGTATCAAAGTTAAAAAAAGGGGAATTTTTTGAGGTATGAAAGTTTAAAAATGTGTAAACTTCTTGAAGGGTTTGGATTTACAAGCGGATCTCGTAGAATCCGACCCGGATCCAAGCTCTCCTATCTTCTCAAATAATTTCCTCTCTCTCCTCCACAAAAAAAAGACCCAAGTCCCCAAAATCTCGTCTCCTATCCCATTTTTCTCCAATTTTTGAAGCAAAAATGGCGATAAAAGCACCCATTGGTGCTTTGAGTTTGGCCCCACCTCCTCCTTCCTCATTGAGAGCCCATTCAAATAGGTCTCTCATCGCCTACCCACCTCTCAAAACCTCCTTCTTCAATGGCGGAGGTATGGAAATTTTAATTTATCTTCTAGTTTTGATTCTATATGATAATTATACAAGTGTTAGCTAATAGAAAATTGACCCAACTGTGAGTTTGAGGGGATCATTTGATGTAATTAGATGTTTATGTGCAATTCCTTTGACGAGCTTCTTCTTTAAGTAGATTTATATTATATATACTGTATGATATGAAGAATGAATGATAAAGGTGTTGGGTGTTGAAGTTGATGCTTTTGATTCAGGGAATGATGCTTTTAGTAATTTCAGTCCATACCAGAAATTTTTCACTTCATGATCTGACTCAATGAGGCCACTGCATATTTGAAGTTCCTGACTTTTTTGATGATTCTGAAGGGAATCACAAAGATATTTGTTTTTTTTTAAAATAATTCGGAATGAAACTTTGCCATGATGGGATCAATGGTATATAGATTTTTTTTTAAAATTTTTCAATATCCATTTTAGGATTTGTTTCATATGAAAAGTTAACTTTATGTGGAATATTATGTCTGCTTATCTCAAGAGAGTAGCAGAAGAAATTCTTGGAGGATCTGAAGGCAATTGATTACTCACTAAAGACATCTGGTGGAACGAGGAAGTCCTCATATACAATTTTTTGCAACTTTGGTGCTGTTTCTTTATCATCTTTTACTTTGTATTTGTTTCATCAGTGCGACCATGTTCTTGACTCTTATGATCCTCTTGCAAACCGAGTCTTCAAAAATAAACATTAGGTCTACATTGCAATTCTTGCAGCTGGTATTTATTGGATAATCTGTTTTTTTACACTAGTTACCTTCATAATTAATATCGGATCACATGTGTACGCACATGCACTAGTGTGTTGACGGTGTATTGACATGTGTCAGGTTCTAAGTCATTAAATTAAGCTCCAAAGGATTGATTTGGGAATTTTTTTATTCTTGAGTAGCACAGTGCGTATTTGCATTAAGCTTACTACCGTCCTCTAAAACACGATCTCATGTTTATCTTTTACAGTGGGGACTCTAAAAGCCACAGTCAATACTAATGTACTAAGATGTAGTAGACATGGTGGAGGTGCTCTCGGTGCCCGGATGAACCTTTTTGATCGGTTGGCTAGGGTAGTAAAGGTGAGTTCAGAAATCACATCAATGCATCATTTCTTGGCCTTTCCTATACAAATCTTGTTTTATATTCATCTTAAATCTGAGCTTATCTGTTGCAAGTGTAGTCATATGCGAATGCAATATTAAGTTCAGTAGAGGATCCAGAAAAGATCTTGGATCAAGCGGTGCTTGAAATGAATGATGATTTGACAAAGATGCGTCAAGCAACAGCTCAGGTATTTCTTCTAGTCTTGTTTCCTTCTGCCAATAAAGTTGGCAATTATTGGTGCTCTCCAATGGTTCCATATGTGAGATTTATTCAGTATGACATGTGTAAGAAACCAAAAGAGTTGCATATATTTTAGATGTGTAAGTTCTTTGCTAAATATAGGGCATAATGAGAGCTCTCGAGTCTTCATTAATGTCCATGGGATTTGTATGTTTTAGATGAAATCCTGGTGATTTAGATGTGTTGAAGATCAAACGTGACATGACTTGAGATTGAGGGGTACTAGTTAGTAACTTGTCATGTATCTCAGCAATCTTTCAGTCCAATTGGCCAGACACACAAAGTTTGAGACCTAGAAGCATTTGTATTCTTAAATTTGCAACATATTTGTGCATGTCAGTTCATATACATGTGAAAGAATTTCATGTGATAAGTTATATATGCCAAATTGATACAAAGACTTAAGTGAAAAATTGCACCCATCTAACTCAACATGTATTATTGTATTGTCTTGGGACCACAAGGGTACCTCTATTGTGCAAAAAAGCATACAATTCTATTAAAATGGGTGGTTGCAGACTACGACATCCTGTGTCATGCTGTGGTACTTCCTGGCTATGACAAGCGGGAATACATATTGTGTTTTGTATATCCTTAATATTAACTATGTAGTCTTTCTCTGGTGCTCATTGGAAATTTCAACCATTTTTCCATTGAGATTACAATTTCAACACTATTCTTGTATATTTTAGGTTTTAGCATCTCAGAAACGATTAGAGAACAAATATAAAGCTGCTCAGCAAGCTTCTGATGATTGGTAATCACCTCTACTATATGCTACTTATTTATACTACGTTTAAGATTTGGACGTGCAAGAAGTTTTCTTTAAGAGTCTTTGTTTTGCACCAGGTATAAAAGGGCACAACTTGCACTTGCAAAAGGAGATGAGGATCTTGCTCGTGAGGCTCTAAAGAGGCGTAAATCTTACGCTGTAGGTATTTCTTGTGAATTAATTTTGCTTGAGTTCTCACCAGATTTCACTTCTAATGAAAGAGGGGGGAAATGCTAAAAGAAGAAAGATATACTACCACTCTCCTATTTCCATGTTATAAATTTTTATATGCTTTGTTATGGGTTTCTGAAATGTATTTCTTTCCGTTGCTTAAAAAGAGAGGGAGGGAGGGAGGGAGATTTCACTGGCTAGAGAGTAATAGAAGACATTGGATCAATCTTAGGTTAATGACATTGGATAAGGGGTCTACCTGCCACTCTTTTCAAATATTTCATTCTAGGGCAGAAATGGTGGGTGAAGTATATGAAGATGACTAGCACACTTTTCTTTTACCTACTGCATGTGTTGTTCTATTTTGTTTTATTAACTACTCTGTAGAAGGGGCTGGAAAATAACGAATAATGTTAATGCACCTCATATAAAGTTGCAAGCGGTCAAATATATTTTTGGCCAGATGATTTTATCATCAGATATAGACAGGGTGATCAATAATGAAATAATGGGAATGTGTTAATAATTTCAGAATATAGTAGTCAAATAATGACTGACTGGGAAATTATGGGGTGTTCTTTTTGTTTTTGTTTTGAGAGCTATACATGTTAGTACGAGTTCAACACGTACACTGATGGTCTTTGTTGCTCCAAACAAATTAATGGATGATTTAGAAACTTAGGTATTCTACCCTAACAGATGAAGGGCGAAAATGTTCTTTAGCCTGTAGGATAAACAGGTCAGTATAATGTTGCTGTTAAAAAAAAAAAAAAATTCAAAGAGCAAAAGTAATATATGAACAATGCATTAGGTAGAAACAAGCTATGAGAAAATAGATGCTCATTGCTCAGCCAAAACTGGTCAGTACATTATTACATGAAGTAGTCTAGACATTTTGATTGTTTTACTTTATATACAATAAAACCCTCGGCAAACGGCTAGGAGCAAATCCTTTACCTTGACATTACTTGTTTGCAAGAACAATATACACCGTTAGACCTCACGGTATCCTCATTTTGCTTTTCTGTGTACTGGATGTGAAATTCTTACTCTTATCCTAAAAATTAGGTAAATGTATCCTTCCTCCTTACCACCCCTGTTGATGACATCTAAAATTATATTTGATCCTGAAAAGGGAAAGATCATTCTGATTCAGAAGTTTTGTCTGCCTGCTATAATTCATGCAAAACTGCTATTATGTCCATCCATACTTTGGTAAATTAAATAAACAGTTGCAATCGGATTTGTTCATAATTGGGTTGGCTCTCAAGCAATTAATTTTCTCTTTCATAGTTGAGTTGGCACGTGAACACATAAAATCAAGGGCTGTTGTGCTCTCATAAATAAGCAGCTACAACTACTTACAACTCTTCTGAACAGCCTCCATAGGTGTTGAATAATTAGCAAGACCTCCCACAGGTTGGAAGAGTAGATGGATGACTGGACAATAATGTCCCTCAAATAAAATATGTTAAACATGCCATTTTTGGATAACATGAAGTCCACCGAAGCCTGTTCTTTCAGAATGTCTCCTGTAGATGCTTGCTGTGATGTGTGAAGTCATCATTTATTAATCTGGTAAAAGTTTTGAAATTTGATGATGAAGATTAAATTTGCAGAGACATCGTCTGTTAATCTCGTAAATATTTGATAAATATGAGGCCCTCTAATCAAGAGATTCTATCTCTGCATAACTATTTGTAAAGTATTTCACAATCCCTTACGTAACGGAAATAAGAACTCATCGGATATTAGGATTCTATTGGGCTTTTATTCAGATTCCATTAATTTTCCGATTCAGATACTAATCACACAATAATTAGAATTCATATTCTGACTTGAATGTGATATTGAAATCCTTGCCATTCTGGTAAATTGTGAATCGGGAATCTGGATATGATTGGATTAAAGTATATCCATTTGCACCCCTAATCTAGGGATCCTGGCTTATCATGTACAGTGGAATCGACTGAATATATGTCAGTCCTTGCAAAACATGACTGTTTTTTTTAAGATATATAGTTCACATGCGAGTATTCTGTTTTCAGGATAATGCAAGCAACTTAAAAGCTCAGCTGGATCAACAGAAAGGTGTAGTCGATAATCTAGTATCTAATACTCGGGTGAGTTTATCATCTCTATTGATCAGTTTTTTATTTTAGTTCTTTTTTACTTCCTTGCAAATTAAACTCTTAAAAAATTGGCTTTGTTTAATTTCTACCATCTGTTGAATTAAATGTTGCAACAATTTTGCATCATGAGTCCTAACATTTCCTTTTCTAGTCATAAATACATTTTGATTGATTATACCAACAATGATACTGAGCTTGAAAATTTTGTGCCGACAACTTTTTCCTAGTGATGGAAACACTGCTGAAACTGGAGTATATATTATTTCCATATCGGCTTGCCATGGACTCGGATGCAGCTACATTACTGGTACTGCCTGGAAGATACACATTATACACTTGGAAAGTATCAACATCTCATATGTGATACTCTAAGCTTAACATGACATCATATGGCACAACAGATAAAGTGTCTGGTGTGGAAAAATTATAAACCTAAACTAGATATAGAGAGAGTTTATGTGGAGAGAAGTAAGTATGTTGGTTCCTAAGTGAAGTCCTGTAGATTATATATGTCATTCCCTTGAAGGGTACAGGCGTCTACCAGCGTAGCACACTGTGGTTGTCCCTCGTGTGACTAAATCTTTTCTTGTGTAATTACAAAAACTGATTGTTGCATGACTGCTTTTCCACAAATTTCCATGCATTCAGTTGGTAAGTATGAGCTCGGCAACTTGTGTTATAATTAGTGATGTTCACCTACATGAAGAGGATGCAGAAAAAAGAAAATTACAAAATTATTAGATACGTTGTTTATATGACATATATGTATTCGGTATAAGTTTCTTGGATGCTTGTTTTATGGGGTTTTTATCTAAATGAATGGTCTTGTGTCACAAAGTATTAGCGGAGGCATCTATTAGCGGAGGCCATTAGATGCACCAGTTAGGAGAAGTGAAGAGATTATTATCAATGGATAAAAGACTGGTGGTATGCCTAAGAAAATTTGGTAAGAAACTATTAAGACAGATGTAGCAAACTTTAACTTAGTGGAGGAGATAGCTCTCAACAAATCTGAATTGGAAGAGTAGGATTCATGTAGCTAACCCTAAAATCTATGTAGCACGGACACGGATCCGACACGGTCATCCGACACGCCGACACGAGGCAAATCCTAAAAAATACATAGGATACGTGTGTTCAACACGTGTGTCCGACACGGACACGACACGACACGGCTTCATGTTATGCGTGTCCGTGCTTCATAGCCTAAATTTGGGATAGAGGTTTTGTTGTAGTAGGAGTAGTAGTAGTAGTAATTGAAACAATACAAATGTTTGGAATTGGGATTGTTCTTTTCCATCCAATCAAACTGGCATTGTCCAATTCTGTATCTTCGAATTCAAAAAAATTCACTGAAAGTTGCAAGGCTGGTTTTCATGCCTGTGTTTATCTAATTGTTATAGTTTTGTCTGGAGAACAGACCAGTGCTGTTCATTTCATTCAAGCTGCCTCTCTTTTTACTTCTTCATCCTTATCGTTTGTCCTTCAGACAATCCTACATTCGTCAATTTCTCATGTCATTCTGTCTCTTATAGAAGGCAACCAAATCCACTGAATTTTACCTTTTTAAACTGTATGAACAAGATAGATACGTCGTGTGTGTACATTCACAATTACCTTTATGCTTGAGGATGTATATCCATGTATGTATATAGGTGTAGGTGTGTGTGTGTGTGTATGCACGTATTCATATATAGTAGACCTCAGGTTTCTCTTTTTCCCTTTAGTTTTAGGGTTTTCATCATCTAGACCTTCAATTATTTGTTAATTCTATATTGGACCCTATAAATCTAAATTAGGCCTTCATGTTTTCAAAATATGTTGCACATGTTTTTAGATCTTATGAAACAGATTCACAAAACTCTTAAGGGGTTATATCATCTAATTGCATAGAAGAGTATGTTTAAAAGTTCAACAACTGTCTTTATCAATGTTTGAAAAAACTTTTCTGCGACTCATTTCAAAACTCGCATCAAAACTTTTTGAATTGATAATTGATTTGAAACTCAAAAGAGAAGCTACTTATCCCTTGAAGCATTCGCCTTATCGCTTAAAGCATAGCAGAAGTGTATGCTTTGCAACTTATAAAGCGCTTCTCTTTTGAAACGTACGCTTTAGACACGATAGGAGGACATAAAAGCATTTTTTTACTAAACTAAAATATACCTATGTATCTTCTATATGACCATGTATATATATATAATATATAATTATATATATATATATATATATATATATAGAGAGAGAGAGAGAGAGAGAGAGAGAGAGAGAGAAATGGGTATGGGCTTGGTAGCAAGCAGAAAAAATTATGGCTTAGGTAGTGAGGTGACATAATCTCATGCGCACTCATGTTAAATGGTTGCGTTAGATATCCCGCATGTACTTCCTCAACCCATATTGTGATTGTGCGCACGTCACTACAAAGTACAAAATTTATGTTTTTTGGTAGCCAAACATCCCATATCATCTCATATATATAACTATATATATATATATATATATATATATATATATACTATATATATATATATATATACGAAGAGAGAGAAATGAGTATGTTTGGTACGCAATCATAAATTTTGTGCTGTAGTGAGGTAGTCCATTCGCCAATCCCTCAATATCAATGGTGACAATATCCCCTATGCACTCCCCAAATCCATGTGAATTGTGGTGCGCCCCATTTGAATGAGTGGAGGAGAATATGATACCTCACTTATCAGCAGCAAAATTTGTGCTTGTACCGAGCATAACCCGCATATTTCTCATATATATATATATATATATATATATATATATATATATATATATTATATGAGAAATATGGGTATGCCTGGTACACAGCACAAAAAGTTGTGCTTGTTTAGTGAGATTGACCATAATCGCCTCCAGTCATTCAAATGGTTTGCATATCCATGGCACTTCTCAACCCGATAATGAATGTTGACGCTCAGTTTGAATGAGTGGAGAGGATTGTGGGCCCACATGCACTACCGATGGGGGGGCATACAAATTTGTGCTGGTAAGCTAAGCATACCCATATTTCTCTGCTCTACTCTCTCTCTCTAGTATATATATATTATATATATATATATATATATATATATATATATATAAATATATATAAGCAAATGTAAGGGCTTATTTATTATGATTTGGCATCTATACTTTGCATATTTAATTCTTATTTACTAATGAGGACATGAATGAATCTATTTTAAATTGTTATACCACTATATGTTATATGTTCATAATATTTACAAATTTTAAAATTAAAATATATTTAAACTCATGATAGGGTCTAACTCTTCGCCTTCTGCTTCACCTTTTTAAATGTTGGTTTATATAAATTTATAAATGTTCTAATATAATTGTAGGTTCTAATATTATTTTATTCACAACTATCTATTCTATTGTTAGCTTTTGGAGAGCAAGATACAAGAGGCTAGGTCAAAGAAAGACACTCTAAAAGCCCGTGCACAGTCAGCAAAGTCTGTACGCTTTTCTGCTTTTATGATTGGACTTAGTTTTTTTTACTTTTTGGTTTCTAGTCTAATCGGACTGATGGTTTCTCAGGACTGCAACTAAAGTGAGTGAAATGTTGGGAAATGTCAATACAAGCAGTGCTCTTTCAGCATTTGAAAAGATGGAAGAGAAAGGTATGCTTTTTAAGATCAGACAGTTACAAAAGTTCTAATTTGACTAGTATTCTGGGAAAGTAGCAAGATAAAAGTTTCAATGAATATCATAATTTACGAAAGCAGAAGATACATGTAAAGCTAATTACTGGATTTCCCCTTGCGTTGCCTAACCTTGCTTGTCCTGTCAAAATTTCAGACGCGCTGTCTTTTAACTAGAATTGATTTAATATTGTTCTATAGTTTTTTCATCTTATATTTCCCTGACTGATCTTTATGATTATGCAACTTGAAATCAACAGTTATGGCTATGGAGTCCCAAGCGGACGCCCTTAATCAGTTAACGACCGACGATCTAGAAGGGAAGGTAGCTTTTCTTTTGAACTACCTTATTGTTTTGTTGTTAAAAGGTTATTCAAGTTTTTAACCCAAGTCCTGATTTTTATTTCTGCAGTTTGCGATGCTTGAAACCTCATCAGTTGATGATGATCTAGCAAACTTAAAAAGGGAGATAGCAGGGAGCTCACCGGTAGTATTTTTTGACTAATAGTGATAATATTACCAACTTGGGTTATTGTCAACTGCATCAGTAGACCTTTTTATTTTGCTCATTGCCTATTTTAGTTTACAGCTTCTACCTTTTCAAAGTTAGCTTAAAATCACCGACTAAAGCCTTTTAGGTCTCCAGCTTAACAGTTCAAATTATATCATTAGCCCTGCTCAAGAACACAACTTGTAATTAATTACACACTTTCTGATACCAAATGTATTAGTTCATGGCATGTAATGTAACATTAATGAGCCTATACATAACGGTTGGTAGTTAGATGTTCGAAGTGCAAACTAAGATAATCTTTTGGACAAAGTTAGATTATCATCATCATAATTTGATATGAGTGACGGTGAAAAGGAAATTAACTGATTTGGCAGAGAAAGAAATTGATATTTTGGATCAGGCTAGGTGGAGCTGGATGTGAATATATCATGATTTGATGTATTAATGTTCAGAAGTATGCAAAGCCAAAATAACATTATTTAGATGAGTAAAAATAATACATTTAGTGTCAAAAAGTATGTGCAGAATGAAGTGTTTGGGTTGGATGAATGCATCCATAGGACCATAGGGGTCAACTCAGATAACTAAAGCAGGGGACAAATTTATGAAATGAGACAAGGACCTCTTGTTCCAGTAAGTGTCTAAACTTGGGATCACTTTCTGTCAAGCATCTTATGAGATTCTGCAGCAACTTGAATTGACTTACATTATGGAAGTTAAAAAAATAAAAGAAAAAGAGAGAGAGACAGAACTTTGCAATTATCTAATATTCATGTTATGGAAGAGACTGATGCTTGTGGGACATTTTCAACCTTATTGGAGAAGTTTTCTCATGCTTGAGCAAAATGAAAAATGCTATTAAGAAAAAACTGAAGAAATCATCAAATGGTGTTTGTTAAGGGGGAAGACTTGGTTCATTTGTATAAAACTTATACTAAAGAATATGAAAATGTATGTAATCATGGAGGATGCACCACTTCAGGATCAGATTATGCAAAACAGTTGGGGATGAGACTAGTAGATAATGGTTGTAGTAATTGAACTTAAGTTTGAAAGGTTACATTCTACTATTATAGATTTCTTCTAGAAGAATTTTGGAAGGTTGCTCTTTGTTGAGTTAGCTTAACAGGGTGAGTAATTGTACAAATTTCCCTGCCTGCTTTTTTTCCTGCTAGGTTTTTTGGCGGCCTCTCGTGTGACCATACTTTCCTCTGCTATGCATTGGGCACCAATTCAGAGGATTAATTTCTGGTTGACATCCAGTTGTATTTTTCATAGCCATCTGAATAGTCTTGCGCTATACAGCTGCGCCATATTGGGAGAAAGCTGATATGATGACAGTAAAAGTTTTATGAATATTAGTGCGAAGTTTATAACCAAGAGACAATTGAATGGTACTTTCTCATGAAGTTATGTTTATGTGAAAGAAGGGATACCATGTCACTTGTGTCGTGAAGTAGAAAGATGGCGTGAAGGTGACTGTTTTTTGTGACATCTTCGGAAGTTAGGAGAAAGTTTAAGAATAACAGGAACCAAACCTTGTGTTGTAAATTGAAATGCAATTTGATGAAGAGAACCAAATCGTAACAAGATGAGCATGGCGAAGAGGGACTTCTAGGTTGGAATTTTGCTAAGAATGAGGAAAAAAGAAATACTATAAGTGTCCTTTAATTAGAAAATCATATAGGGGAGATAGGGTATGAAGACATGTGGCCTAACATGAATCTTGATGCGCACATCACTCTCAACTATTAGTGTAGTTACTATCTGTTATCAGTGCAGGCTGCACTGATGGCAATTGTCAAATTGTTAGACAATAGTGATTATACTGATAGCTGATAGTGATGTGTGCATCAAGATTCATACTAGGTCATGTGTCTTCATCCCCTATATCTATATAGGGCCCTCAAATAGGATCCCCCAAGAAATAAAAGGATAGACAGCAGCATGAAGGACATTTGTTAACAGATTATAAGATATTGAAACAACTAGAAGTTTTAGCAACAAGCTTAGCATATGTTACACAATGATTTCCTTGTCAAGATCCCACAAGGAAATCTCAAGGTTCTCAAGGTTAACTGGAAGTGTAACAAGCAACATCCTGTATCATTCTCAAGGTTCTCAAGGTTCTTAAGATTTAACTACTGAGTTATCATCATAAGAATGACTTCAAAACCTTGAGAATGATACGGATGTAAGCCATTATGTGAATTACTTGCATTTTATGACACAACAAATCTGAGGGCCTCTTGGTTATGTTTACATTCATTATAACTAGGGAAAATTGTGTCAAGGCCCCAAAAGTAATATCTTCATGCGCTGTAGCCCCTTCATTTCCCCCATGTGGTTCAGCTTCAAGAAGTGTGACATCTTGTGCTGCAGTTCTCTTTTAGCAATTATTACTAGCCAACTAAGTATAGAGAGAGAATAAAAAGTACAAAACCTCAAAATACCCTTATCCTTTTAATGTTAGGTCTATTTAGAACTAACGTTAGGTCTATTTAGAACTAACATGAACTTTTATTAGAACTAACATGAACTCTAGTTAGAACTAACACGAACTTTTATTAAAACTAATTTAATTCCTTTTAAGTCTAATTTAAATCATGTTATGTCTAATTTAATTTATTTTAAGTCTAATTTAATTGGACTTAACATGAAATTAGACTTGAAAAAAATTAAATTAGATTTAACATGATTTAGATTAGACTTAAAATGAATTTAACATGATTGAAATTAGACTTAAAATATCGTGTTAGGTCTAATAAAAGTTCGTGTTAAGTCTAATTTCTTGTTAAGTCTAATAAAAATTCGTGTTAAGTCTAATTTCATGTTAGGTCTAATAAAAATTCGTGTTAGTTCTAATAAAAGTTCGTGTTAAGTCTAATTTTCTGTTAGGTCTAATAAAAGTTCGTGTTAGGTCTAATTTCATGTTAGATCTAATAAAAATTAGTGTTATGTTTAATAAAAATTCGTGTTAGGTCTAATTGGAGTTCATGTTGGTTCTATTTCGTGTTCGTGTTAGTACTAATTCATGTTAATTCTATTTCGTGATCATGTTAGTTCTAACTCAGTTCGTGTTAGTTCTAATTCATGAATTAGAACTAACACGAACTGAGTTAGAACTAACACGAACTGTTAGAACTAACACGAACTGAGTTAGAACTAACATGAATATTCCCTTCTTTTTTTTTCGTGTGTTCTCCTGTTACCTGACGATTTTTTTTCCATGCGCCTGAGGCTGCCCTCTGCTCTCTTTTGATTTTTGGATTTTTTGCCTTTTCTCCTCGTCTTATTCTTCTTTGTCCTTTTTCTTCCTTTCGTCCTTTATCTTTTCGTCGACTTTTTCTTTTATGGGATTTTTTTGTTTTTTCTTTTCATGCTGTGTGTGTCTGAGGATGCTAGCTCCTTTTCCCTAATTTTTATTTATTTTTTTTATCTCTTTCTTCTTTGGTCTTCTCAATTTTTTCGTCTTCTTCTGCCTTTTTTCTTAAATTTTCTTTAGGTCCCCATATCTCCAACACGAAATTTTAGGTCTAATTGGTGTTCATGTTAGTTCTATTTTGTGTTCGTGTTAGTTCTAACTCAGTTCGTGTTAGTTCTAATTCAGTTCTTCTTAGTTCTAATTCATGAATTAGAACTAACACGAACTGAGTTAGAACTAACACGAATATAAAATAAAACTAACATGAATTAGAACTAACACGAATTGAGTTAGAACTAACACGAACACGAAATATAACTAACATGAACACCAATTAGACCTAACATGATTTAGAACTAACACAAATACGAAATAGAACTAACATGAACACCAATTAGACATAACATGAGTTAGAACTAATATGAACACAAAATAGAACTAACACGAACACGAATTTTAGGTCTAATTAGAGTTCATGTTAGTTCTATTTCGTGTTCGTGTTAGTTCTAACTAATGTTAGGTCTAATTGGTGTTCATGTTAGTTCTAGTTCTAGTTCGTGTTAGTTCTAACTCAGTTCGTGTTAGTTCTATTTCATGTTCGTGTTAGTTCTAATATATGAATTAGAACTAACACGAAGTGAATTAGAACTAACACGAACTGAGTTAGAACTAACACGAATACGAAATAGAACTAGCATGAACACCAGACCTAAAATTTTGTGTTAGGAGACATGGGGACCTAAAGAAAATTTAAGCAAAAAAAAAAAAGGCAGAAGAAGATGAAAAAACTGAGAACAAGACCAAAGAAGAAAGAGACAAAAAAAGGGGAGAAGGCGCTGGCATTCTCGGACAAACACAACATTGAAAGGAAAAAAAAATCCCATAAAAAAAAGTGGATGAAAAGAAAAAGGACGAAAGGAAGAAAAGGACAAAGAAGAATAAGACGAGGAGAAAAAGACAAAAAATCCAAAAATCAAAAGAGAGCAGAGGGCAGCCTCAGACGCACGAAAAAAAAAGGTCAGGGAACAGGGAACACACGAAAAAAAGAAGGAAAAATTCATGTTAGTTCTAACCCAGTTCGTGTTAGTTCTAACTCAGTTCGTGTTAGTTCTAATTCATGAATTAGAACTAACACGAACTGAGTTAGAACTAACACGGACTAAGTTAGAAATAACACAAACTGAGTTAGAACTAACATGAATACGAAATAGAATTAACATGAATTAGAACTAACATGAGTTAGAACTAACACGAACACGAAATAGAACTAACATGAACTCCAATTAGACCTAACACGGACTTTTATTAAACCTAACACGAATTTTTATTAGACCTAACATGAAATTAGACCTAACACGAACTTTTATTAGACCTAACATAAAATTAGACTTAACATGAACTTTTATTAGAACTGACACGAACTTTTATTAGACCTAACATGAAATTAGACTTAACAAAATTTTTTATTAGAGCTAACATAAAATTAGACTTAACACGAACTTTTATTAGACCTAACACGAAATTTTTAAGTCTAATTTCAATCATGTTAAATTCCTTTTAAGTTTAATTTAAGTCATGTTAAGTCTAATTATATTTTTAAGTCTAATTCATGTTAAGTTCAATTAAATTAGATTTAAAATAAGTTGAATTAGACTTAAAAAGGAATTAAATTAGTTCTAATAAAAATTTGCTTTAGTTCTAATTGGAGTTCATATTAGTTCTAATAAGAGTTCATGTTAGTTCTAAATAGACCTAATATGAAAGAGATAATGACATTTTAGTGTTTTGTACTTTTTATTCTCTATATGCTTAGTTGGCTGGTAATAATTGTTAAAAGAGGGCTGCAACACAAGATGTCATACTTCTTGAGGCTGAATCACATGGGGGAAAAGTGAAGGGACTGTAGCACATGAAAATATTGCTTTTGGGGTCTCGACACAATTTTCCCTTATAACTAACTACGTGGCAACTTTTATCCAATGTGGAGCAACCTATGACCTAGCACTTGCGACTTTATTTATTCATTGTGCTTCCATCCTACTCTGCAACAACAACGACAACAAAACAACAAAGCCCTTATGCCATATTTTGGGGTTGATACATGAATATTGTTCTTTCATTTTAAAGATTATCTTCTCCACTAAGTTAATGCCCCGGTTTCAGAACTACGAATTATAGAACTTTGGAAATAAGTTTATAACTGTTCATTTCTGAACAAAAAAGTGAATACTGAAGAAACCGAAAGATCAGTTAATGCGGTCATTTGGCTATTCTATATTTTCCTTTTCCTTGAACCAAAAACCTATTTGAGCCCCCCCCAACCCCACACCCCCCAACCCCACACACACACACATCAAACACAACACAACACACAAAAGAACTTGAAAGAGATGTGATAAATGCAGTAAGTTCGCGTGTTCTTAATTTTTTGCCCTTTTAGTTTCTTTGTTTGTCTCCAATTTAACCAAGAAAGTTATCTGGTTAGCAAAACAAGACTTCTTAAACTAATGGCACTAGTATTAACTGTAGACAACACTAGCACAATGATATGTCAAAACAAGACTTTCACTTTTAATCATTAAATCTATCTGGTTAACAACATGAATTTAAACTCTTTTAGACTCTCAGATAATGGTTTTGGAAGCCTATCTTAACAACTGAATTAGACATAGGTTCAAAAGATTTTATTTGCAAGAAACTTCCTAACATTAACAGTAATGATAAGCTTTTGATTACCGCATCTGTCTTAATTTCTCTAATTTCCCTCCATACATCTGACCTTTTCGACAACTTCATCCTGTCCCTGTGCCCCCTGCGCTGGGAAATAGAGAAGTAGCTATTTTAATTGAGCAGTGATCATTCTGCCTGATCTGTTAATTATCTCACATCATGGCAGAAAGGGGAGCTCCCTGCCGGTAGAACAACAGTCAGCAGCTCAACCTCATCATTTCCATTTAGAGATTCAGAGATCGAGAGCGAGCTGAACGAGCTCAGGAGGAGAGCCAAGGAGTACTAGTTTCTATCCTCTTGCCTTTCTGATCTCAAATGAAGCTCACTTCATGTTTGTGGATTAAAAATTCTACTTCTGGCTATGTACAATGCCTGTATCCTAAGCTGAAGGATGAAAGTGAATGTGGGAAAAGTAACAGAGGAGATCTCTTGTGATGGATTGCTGACAGTCCAGAAGGTCAACCGTTGCATTTGCAATTATTTGACACATATGTACGATATAATAGGCAAGCTTTTATGTGTATAAAGAATTAAACTGGTTTTGGTTTACTTGTTGCAAAATAAGGCCATATTAGTTGGAAGAATGATTTTGCTTTATCATGTTGAGTTTGTGATGAAGACTGCTGAACTTACTGACCATTTAATGCTGCTAGTACTTCATATATTTGTATAGGATTTGGATCCTCCCTATTACCAAAAAATTAGCGGGGAGACTATTACCTTATAGACAGATGGTTATCTGTTTAGCGGGTTGTTATGATTAATTCTAATTCTAATATTTTCTCATACTCCCAATAAGTCAATAAATACTAATAAGGTAGACCAGGTAGTGGTTTTTCCGCTACTTTTTGTTTTTAATATTGGATAGCATCTGGATCTATTTGACATGTGAGTAAAAACAAAAGAAAGATTGATTTTTTAACTTACAGGTATCTTATATTCATATAAATCATTGCCTTTGAAGCCCGTTTTGTAATTTACAGGTATCTTATTTTCATATAAATCATTACCTTTAAAGTCCACTTAGCTAAACATGAAAGAGACTCGGTTTCCGTCTCGCTTGAAAGAGATCCATGAGACTCCACAAGTCCGAAGTTTTTTCTTCCTATCTTATTTTCATATTAATTTATGAGTATTTTAAATGGATAAAGTGATAATTCAGGGAGCAAGGTGAGATTGAAAACGATAGCTTAGGAGGGCAAGGTCGGCCTGGTTCACGAGGTAAATAGCTAAGGGGTACAGGACGAGACTAACACATAATAGCTAGTCAGAGGGCATGAACGTCAAAACTCTCACTGTTACATTGGGGTGGATTGTTTCGCTCTAACTACCCCCAGTGCCTCAACTCAAAACTCTCTTCCTCCTCCTGTGCGCTCTCAATATTTGCTCGCTGCTCCGTTTAGTCGTCGGGGCGGCGTGAAATCAAGAAGAAGACGAAGAACAACACATGCACGTTTGCAACGCAAAACAGCACTGGCCTCGGGCGGCGCAGACGCACCGTGCTCATGGAGGAGAAAGAAGGTGGGCGGCTCACAAATCAAGAGCCCCTCCTCCATGTCCGCGTCTCCATCTTCAGCCTGAGCCTGATCGAGGAGGACTGTTGTTCATCTTCATCGTCCGAAGTGATGATTGAGATTTTACAACCTGTAAAATGGCCAGTGAGTTCGAAGATGCCTGAGCCGGAGGAGCTGAGGAGGAGTACTCACTGCCTTCGACGTCATCACCAGTGACGATGCAAGGTGCTCGAGGCAAGTGATAAAATTTTCTCCTCCTCTTACCTTGTTATTTGCCTCCTCCATCGTCGTCGTCGTCCTCGTCTGATTCTCAGTATGTCAAGGTCTGAAGTTGCTCACCTGCTTCGTATTGACTAATACATATGACACATATCTTGTCCTCTGTGTCGACGGAATCCTCCACTGATGGTGCGTATGATGAAATAGGGAACGCCTCGACCTCATGACGTTTTAATCCTCGTGCTGAAGGTGGATGTATTAGAAATTATCGTCGCAGGCAAAACAATATGCATAGGAAGATTAAGATGCCTCCAAATGTGATGCTTACTACTATGGAGTATTTTACCCAGTCTGGCTTTTCAGCCATGTCAAATGATGTTGCGTACCCATAATGCGGAGTCGTCTCTATTTACAAAAATTACATGCTCCATTACAAATGTTAAGTGTGTTCACATAATATTTTTTTTTAGATTTGTAATCCACCCTACATCCAATAAAAAAAAAAAGTTGAAACAAACAGCCCTAAAAATATGAGGGCCGACAAACATAGCCAAATTTGTCATAGTCACGCGGGCTAATGAATACTAAGCCGCAGGCAATTTTAAGCCATGACATGGAACTAAAGAGTTTGCTAAAGAAAAAGTAAGACACCAATCAAAATAATGAAACTCACCGAATACACGCACCATGCACTCTCTCCATATTCACAACCAACTCCATTAATGTCCCAGTATCCTCCACATACACCTCAGGCATCCATAGACTGCAGAACTAATGTGCGAACTTTCTTTTGATCCCTGTCAACTAGTTTCAGAGCACCACCATCCTCAATAAAGGTCTCAACCCTTGCTGCTCTCTTCTCTTTTCATCTATCATTTTCTCCAAATGTTTACACGAATAACACATCCCTTCCCTTGATATTAATGTGGGAAGAAAGTGCTCTATGCTCTATGCCGTTCTACTGCGGCCGCGAGGGTATCACTGCAGCCCAAATACGGGGCCCTCATCTGGATGCGGTTACCATTTGAGATCGACGAGGATTGATCTTTGTAATGATTTCTTGTTAGCTATGTTGTTTGAGAAAAAGGCAAATTTTGCCTTTGTGAATAGTCTCACGTTGGAAATTGAGATGAATAGTAAGGGGTTTATATTGGAACACCTCTTTCTCGGCTTTGAGAAATGTTTTGGGTGAGCTTTGAATAACACACACGCGCACGCAAGCAAGCCACGCCTCGACGCGAGCCACGCCGCATGCGCACGTGTTCATTTTATTTTAAAATATGAAAAGTGAATTTGGCCCTCACGCGATCTCAAATAATTGTGGATATTTCTTTATTTTAAAGCTTTTAAAGAAATATTTTGAATATGTTTCAACAGTTTAATGGATTCAAAGATTTTCCATGACTTAGTTTCTGATAAAAATGGGGAAACAGTGAAATCCGTAAAATGTTTTAACTAAAATGATGAGTTTTAACTCGTCCACTTGATTTGAAAATGTTTAGCAAATTTTGATAAGTGATGTGTTTCTAATTTAATAAGTGATTCTAGATGCCTTAAAACCCTCAGAAAATCCACTATGGAGTGTTCTGCCTGTCATATGGTGAATGCACCTTTATTTGGCCCTTCTGTATTCGGCCCTTCTGTATTTGGCCCTTCTGGAATTTGTTCTGGTCCCTCTGTATTTGGCCAGTAACCTATGATAGTGTTAGATACATTCGATTCCCGGGAATTATCTGTTATGTAATGCGGTTAACGCATTCTCATGCTACTGGGCTAAAATTCGTAGTCTTAGTGTGATCTATGAGGTGATTTTCACATTCACGAATGACTCATCGAGATTTAAGATTCTGACAATTGACTGTGAAATAGTGAAAATAACAAACCTATGGTTCTTGCACAAATTTAATAGTCCATTTCTTTCTTAGTAATTACCTTGTTTTAAAAAGGGGTCTGGTTTTGGAATATATTACAATGTATTTAGTTTGCAAATGAGAAAGAAATATAAACTGTTACATTCTTCCATAAAAATATCAATAGTATGTTGTTTGGACCATAATTACAATTTTTTTTTAAATTCTGGTGCAAAACTTATAATTCATTATTTCTGAGAATTATGCTTATTATTATTTTGTTAGTTATCTAGAAATTCTAGTGAAAAATGTTCTTACTGAGCCCTAGCTCATCTCGTTGTTTTTAAAATTTTCAGATCTGGCGTAGCTACATAATAGCCAAACTTTTGGTTATGACGCTTTGCTGAGAGGTGTTATATGGAAAGCCTCCTTTTTGATGTCACATACAGTCAACAATGTGCTGTATTTAGTAAAATGCTTATAATGGTGAGCTTGTGGGTTGTAAGTACCAATTATATACATGTATATAGTTGATCAGACTTCTATCATCAATAGGTTTATAAATGTTTTGAGATAAACTATGTGATATGAAGTGCCAAACTTGACTCATGCATGAGACTTATCTTGTGCATGGGTCGCTGCTGTTATGTAACCTGTATTTATGAATTTCCGCTGCAGTTTCGGGGCGTAACAATAAGATGATATCGGAGCCTAGGTTGTAGGTCGATTGGATTTGGAAAATTCTTTAGTGATAAGTGAGAATGTTAGATTGCGAAGAAATAAATGATCTCTAGTGCCCTATTTGGAAAATAATCAAGAATAATATGACATATTAATTCATTAAGTGATTTTGAAATATATACATGTTAATTTCGTTATTGATTTGGAGGCATAATGTTTGAAATTATTGGACGATATGATTTTTATTTTTCTCTTTAGTTTTGATGTCATGGAATGTGAGGGATAGTATGGATAATATTATGTCAGCGAGAATAAGTTGTTATGGTTAAGTTATTTAGTTGGGTACTCTAATAATTATAATTATCTTATTTGTTAGCCTATTGATGATTGATATGATTGAACTACTGTGATAAAAGGTTTTATTTTGGTGATAGTAATAGATGGATGACTACACCAATTCTATGCATTAATGAATCAAATATTTAGATTTATCATGGAGTAATTTACAATATTTTCACTAGTTCTGTATTGAATTTTCCAATAGCTAGGAAGCCTAGGGCTCACTTGAATTATTCTTGGTTTTCAATAGTTCTAACATGGATGTATTTGCCCCATGTCTCTTGGATTTATAGTGTAAATACTAAGAGTCCATTAGGACTAGAAAATATATATTTGCAATCTAAATAAACTCTCTAGCTGTGATGCCTCCTTATAAGTGGACCCTATAAACTAGAGTTATTAGGCATTAGTGCAACGTGTTTGGTTTCCAGAAAATGAGTTCCTTTGAAAAAATTTGTTAAAACTTTAAATATATGTCATTCATATTAGTGGAATTCAGTGTCTTGATTCATGATGCTTAGACTAATATTTCCAATGGATAAAAAAAAGTAAGTGGAGTTATCAAGATTCAAAAGATTGATCAAATATACAAGACTCATTATCATGATTATTAAATTGAGGTATATATTGATGGTTTAGTATTGATAATAAACATGTACATGTGCAAAATAAAGTGGAAGATAATAAGTTATCTTATACCTTATGATTAGAGTTACACACATGAATTGAAGTTTGTCATCTTGATTACTTACTAAAAGTTGGAGATTATCAGTACAAAGAAATACATGATATCAAGTGTAAATGAATTGAAATTATGAGAGATATATGATTCCACCATTTTATAAATTAATTAAGGGAAGAAATTGGATAAAGTTATTGAATAATATAATTCAGAAGAGTTAGAAAATTTTGAAATGAATTAGTGGGTCAATGATTTTTAAGGGTTAACTTTAGAAGTGATTGTTCAAATGATTTGATTTTGAGCCAATATTTGATCTCTGACTAATTACTGTCAGTAGTAAGTAATGGCTAATGACATAGTTGAGATTCATCTGGACGTCGAGGGCAATCTCATATAAATAAGTAATTAAGGATGGAAATCAAGTTTCTTATGGGCTTTATTTTATTTAGAATCTGGTGAAAATAATATAATCATCCAGTTGGTATAGATTGTGCCTATTGTATGTTAGTGACCAGGAAAATGAATCATCCTTAATCAGTGGTCTAGGATAATAGCTATCCAAGACGGAGGACGACTTAAAGTAGATCTCTTGTAAAAGTATTTTCGTGGATTGTTCATTAAAAAAAGAGTAAACTAGTATTCTGAAGATTATGAGCATGGTGTAAGTTTGTACATGACAAGAATAATCGATGAAGAGTTATTGGAGTTTTTCTATTGTATTAGAAAGACAATAGTTAACCTTTAAATATACTTCTATTTTGTGTCATGAGAAGATGATGTTTAGAATTCAAAATCATCTGAATTTTTCTACTGAAGTTATGAATTTCGAGACTTCCTAAGAGTTACATTAGCCTTTAAATCATATTGATTATGAAAAATATGTAGGCTTGGATTACTTAGCTTCTATGCAAAAATATTATTATTGTTGGCATTATCAGAAAGTGTCTCCAGATTGAGTATACCTTCATATAGGAAGATTAAGTTTTAGCAAGTTTGGTGCCAGAATGAGTTTGTTGTATAGATTCTATATCACATAGTATCAAGCAAATAAAAGGAGCACAAGGTGAAATTGTTAAAGTATTGTGATGAATGTTTCATCAGTTCTAGTGTGTCACAGTGGGATAAATATACTATAATGCTTAAAAAAAGAAAAAAAGAAGTTCTACATAATCTTTAATGTCGATTGATAATTGCCACTAATGCTTGCTTTAACAATTGGAGATGCATGGTTTATCACCAATATGGTGACACTTGAAAGGAGTTATAATGTATAGCCGTATAGAATGAATTTTTTTATATATCATTTGAAATGCAATAAACTGTATGATAAAATTCTCACACTCATGATTTGGAGTTGACGATAGTGATCTATGCTCTGAAAATTTGGACACATTATCTTGATGGTGTCCAATGCAAGATATGTGCTAAGCACAAATGTTTGGAGTATGGGTTCAACTAAAAGTAATGAATTAAGGCATAGAATAACGATTAGAACTTTGAAGGTTTAGTAGTGTCATCTTAGTAAGAAATATGATGGTTGATGTCTTAAGTCATAAAAGACTCATGTGTCTCATTTAATTATACCTCAAAGGAGAAGTTGGAGAAATTGGATCATGCATAATCGGAATTTAAGTCTACTCAATTAAAACCAAATTGAACGAAATTTTAATATATTTTGTTGTTAAAGGAGTTAAAAAGATAACCAGCAAAATGAATCTCATTTGGAAGTTAAGAAAGATGTGGGTAAGCACATTCAGTATAGGTATATAAGATGTACAAGATAGATCATTAATCTTTTAAATAGAGTTTTGTATATGAAAGGTCAGGGGAAAAAATCTGAATGATGCACATTACTATGTGTACATAGATATAAATAAATTAATATATTAGTGGACTAATGTGAAATGAGTATTGAAAAAAAAACGTGGTTGTCTTTGGCATGCCAAAAGACAAAAGTAGAAACATTAGAGATAAAATGTAGATTGATCTTAAATTAGATATACCATTGTGGGAAGAAAGAAAATCACCATAGACCTCATCATTAACGTCCTGATAAAACATTTGAGAAAGAATAATACTATCTAGATAATACTCGACTGAATACTAAGCTAATATACTTTTTCCTTCCCATGTAAAATTTTCATTGGAAAGGTTGACCAGGTTTTTACATTCACAAGATGATAAGATTTCATGACTTACTTGTGTCAATAGTAACAATTAGGAGCTCAAGTTCTTACAAAATATTGGAAGAGTATTCACAGAAATTTGTGGATTGGATTTAATTTTTTCAGCACAATTTATCATCCATATACATGTGATAAAAGACAAGTAAATTTTGAAAAATATGTTAAGGTACTGTGTATTTGAAATGGAAGAATTAGGGGAAGGCTATCTACCTTTACTGAGTTTGTATAAAATAACGAGCATGAAGTCAAGCATAAAGATGACACCTTGTGACCTCTTATGCAGTAAAAAGTAGAGACCACTTATTTATCTAGATTTTGACGATGAGAGAAGCTCTTTGGAGTGGAGTCAGCGTGTCAACCTTCATGGTTCTGCTAGACTAAGAATCACGCTTAACAGAGTTAGACTTGTTGTAGAAGAAGAGAGCTAGGATTTCAAGGGGATATTAGGTCCAGGACATATAAAAAAAATCCTAAAATATCAAAATAAATTGACCAAGTACTGGACAAGTTAGCAATGCAATCACCTTTAATTGGAGTATGTTAAATAATTGATATATCAATTCTAAGAGAATTATATGAGATGCAGATTACGTTGAACAATTACTACCAGTGAAGCCCAACCCACACATAACGTATGAAGAAACACCAGAGTGTATTGTGAATCATAAATAGCAAGAAATTCGCTGTTGAATCATCAAATATGAGAAAGTTTAATAGAGAAACTACTCTGAGAGAGGTGCTACCTAAGGAAGGAGAGATCCTATTTAAGAGAAATATTTGGAAGGCTTTGAAAATATAGGCGTGTTAAGTTTCGAGGACGAAACTTTTTATTAGGAGGGGAGATCATCCCTAAGTTTGATATCATTATCATATCCAAATTTTCTCAAGGCTGTCCATGTTGTTTCAAGACAACCTTTCTCAATGAAGAGTTCATGAAGGAAAAGGAATCCAGTCAAAGTAAGGCCATTTTCGTTAACCCCGTCAGACATCTTCTCCTGCACAACCTTCTTGACTCCAGCAATTTCAGTAGGCTGGAGGGGAGCACTGAAGCATTTAACCTGAAAACAAATCCTTTTCAGTTGCTTAAGAACAAAAGATGCTACGATAAAGGTGAGCTTGCAAGTGACTATAGTCAAGAAAAAGGGACAACGAGCATAATAAAACCTGAAAGTCATTCAACTCAGAATCACTTAGTGCTCCATCCCTGTTAGTGTCACAGCGAGCATAATAAAACCTGAAAGTCATTCAACTCAGAATCACTTAGTGCTCCATCCCTGTTAGTGTCACAGAGAATGAATATCCTTTTCAAAGCCATTCAACTCAGAATCACTTAGTGCTCCATCCCTGTTAGTGTCACAGAGAATGAATATCCTTTTCAAAGCACTTATACACCGAGGCTTCAGTGACTGTGTTTCCTTGTCAAACAGTGGGGCGGTTGGATGAAGTACTGCTTTCTGTGCATAATAGAACACTTCTGGAACCTGCAGATTGGCATTGGTTTAGGTTCAAGCAAACGAGAAATAGAACAAACACGACACGTGAAAAGACAAATACAGCAGAAAGCACAGAAGTCTCATAACACCCTTTGACGTCTACGTTTACATTTGACAATAACACTCTTACCCATAGAACTCCATCCTAACTGTTGATCACTAAGTTTTATCAAGATTGGCTCGTGTATGCTAGAAAATTGGATGGTGTAGTATTGCAAGTTTACGGTGTAAATTTCGATCTTTTTAGCATGAGGACTAGCATTGTGACATTCCATCATGATTTCTATTAGCCCTTTCTAAGACACTCGAGTCAGCGGCACATGGGAATTTCTTAATCATTAACAGTATCCTATCCATAAGCATGTCCTTCTCTTTTAAGATTCCACCAGTTGTCTGCATAAATGTTCATGTGACTTTGTTTCATATGTTTCTATGTAAGCAACAATCTAATTCATATCAGTTCAAACCAAGCAACATCTCAACTCATCACATGGGCCCAAAAATACCATTTCAGCGGCCCAAAATTTCAAAACCAAATTCCAGAGAAGCCTCCTAACCCTTTAACTTATCATGATTTCTTATAATGCAGCAGTCTCCACACTCAGTCAAAAATTCACAATACCCCAGGCTAGATCCAAACTTTGGGGGAAAACACATAGGAAAACGATAATGACGTGATATTAACAATGTGGGACTTATTTGCGACAAACTTTTCACATAATCCCTAAATAACCAATCATAATGCAATCTAGAATGTCAAAGGCTGGATCTTTTGAAGTACCTGAATCTGCCTGAGGGAAGAACATTCAACGCAAGTCTCAATCTCCCGAAACTGCTGCATAATGGGCGACATATCCTGCTCCAAGCTCATCTGCTGCTCATCCCTAAGATCCAACTTGCATCCGACCACAATCACTGGCACTTTAATCTACCCAACGACAACAAACAAGAACAAAAAACCATCATCACACCAAACATCGAAACCCTAGCAAATAGAAAAAAATCAAGAAAAATAATATTTCACCTCCAGCCTCCTCAGCTCCGGAAGCCAGTAGGTACTCAGCCGATCCAGCGTGGACGGGCGATCGCAAGCGTAGGTCAGCACGATGGCGTCAGCGTTCTGGCACTCGGAGAACGCCTTGCTCTTGTCCTCGGGGCTACAAAAGAGAAAGATCACCACATTGAGATTGTTGAGAGAGAGAGAGAGAGAGTAGAGAGAGCGTACTTGGAGGGCGTATCGATGATGGTGAGGGGAACGCGATCGAGGTAGTAGTCGGCGGGTAGGTGGGTAGGCGGAACGACCCTGGAGGCACTCTCGGGGAAATTCTCGGTGGCGACAGAGGTGACGAGGCTCGATTTGCCGGTGCCAGCGTCGCCGATCACGACCACGCGGACGCTGGTGCGGCCTCCGAAGGCCTGGTTTTTCCTGCTAGGGTTTTTGTTGGGTGGGGGCGGTTTGTTTCTGCGTTGCTGCTTGCGGGGGGTGAAAGAAAGCGACGGGATACTTATGCAAGGAAAGGGGTGTTATTGGGTTTGGACTTTGAGGATCCGACCCGTGTAGTATATATTTTTGGTGATCTTGGATTCTCAACTTAGTATTATATTAGAACTAGTTTGATTGCACGTGCAATGCACGTGGTAAAATTTTTAATATTTTTTTAAAATTTATAATTTTATTTAGTTAAAGATTTGTTATTAAATTATGGAACGTAAACAATGTGTCAAACATATGACACAATCTAAACATTCAACATTTGAACAATGAAATTATATTTATTGATTGATCAGGCAATAGTACACTGCTTGCATCTATATGAAATCAAATATCGTCACAAGGATATACCTAATAGTAATGATTGATGATGTGGATGTAATTCCAAGCTCATGGCATTCGAAGCTTGACTAAGCCTTTGCAATATGTAATGTGTGAGTATATATATTCACGCATGAAAATTTCACAATCTCATTTAAACTGCAAAACACTCATTAAACTTTGTATGATCAAACATTATTAATAAGGTTGACGAGTAACTTTCTAAGGGCATAGGATTTGAATATAAACAATAGATGAATATTCCCCAGGATTATGGAAGAACAATCATCAGATAATCAAAGAATGTCAACACATCCAAACACAAAATAGGTGAACACCCTTGGCTACAAATCTCGAAATACTCTTGGATACTCAAAAGTCAAAACATATGCAAACACAGAAAGCAAACGAAATCAACACATTCAAACTGGAGTATGTACACAATAAGTGAAAATTAACCCCTTCAAACGACCTTATAACGAAATGCTTCAACTGAATTATCATCACACTAATATCATCAGCAGAGCCTCGATTAACAGAGAGATCGGGAAGCTTTTTACAAGCAGAGAGTGGTGATGAACACTAAGGGTCTGTGCAGAAGGGTTGAGCTATTCTACAGCCTCCTTATTGCTAACATATAAAGTTAAAGAAGGAACAATGTCATATCTCTGATCACAGCCTATATAGAGGATAACATAACAATGAGACAAGTTAAACCTGAAACTCACCTTATCCCACAACCCATCACAGGCGAGAATCAAAAACTCGAATTCAGGTTTAATTGCAAGGATTCTTGTTTCTGGGTCCGGTATGACCCATTGTTTCAAATGAGAGTCTTCAATTCCCCTTGAAACGGCTAGTATGCCTTGCAATCTCCATAATCCTTGGCAAAAATAAATATAGCCACTCTGCATAGAGGACATATAGCTTTAATAACCATTAAGTTTACATCAGAAATGATACATAACCCATATTGTAATTATATTTACTCTATCCTCTTTTTGAACTTTTACAGAGTTAAACCCATCAAACGCAAATATCATATTCAAACAAATTTTCTATTTCAATAAAACATGCACATTAACATATAAACTCATCCAATTTAATAAAAAGTGACACCAAACCTACGGTGAAAATTATTAGTGATGTTTTCAGTTTCTAAACTTCTAAAAAAACAAAACCAAAGGCACACAAAAGTGTAACAAACAGTTCTGTTGCCACAAGCATTCACATTAGCAAAAAGACTCGTCAAATTAAACAAAAAAACTTATACGCAATTCAAATTACATACTATACTTAGTTTTTTCCCCTTCCAACTATCAAAAAATTCAAAACTAAGAAAAACACACGTTTAACAAGAAGCTTTTCTATTTCAATAAGGAATGAAATATGTAGACTTAAAGAACTGGCCTACTTATTTCCCATTTACCAGAAATAATTATGTTCTATGAAAAAACATGAGCATTACAACGAAAATATTTTCAATGTGCAATGAGATAAGTTACTTACGAGGTTCTCAATTCTCTCCCTTTCATCCTCCCTCGATGACCGATGATCCGAAGTAAGTGCCTCAGCAGCACCCGAAATGCTCAAGACAGCCCGACAATCACCAGCATTGAACACAATAAGATCACCCTTCTTAATGAGAGCAGTGACACAACAAGATCCACTTTCAGCTTCTTCTTTAAGGAACTCTGCATCAGTCTTCATATACCCATTAGCAACCGCCTTTTCTATGTCTTCATCTTATCTCTTCATTTCAGTTATATTGTTTTCCCCAAATTGTCGGTAGCAAATTCAGCAGCTTGAGTACCACTATGACCATCGAAAAGATGACACATCAACTGAAATGTCGTTACAACCCTTCTAATCACAAATTTGATTCTTTTTGAAGATGAAGGTCATCTACGTAATACATAACATGTGATATATAACAAGAAGACTCTCCGCTGATACATCAAATGTGATATATAACATGTGTTGCCTACACATCTACACATGAGATCATGCATGCCATTGAAGAATCATGTACAAAAAAGATCAATAAGATAACAGAAAAGGAATGCTAGTGGTTATGAAATTATTGAAAATTTGGTTACAGTAGCCGATTTGGGGCATCATGTATACGACTGTTTGCCATGACATGATATTGTGATTAGGACTTTAGGAAAGACTCGTCTAAGTAATTTTATTCTATGGACTGATTTCTCTTTTAGGCACTTGGTGTGGGCTATCCTAGAGTACCAGAAGGTCAACCCTTATTTAAAAGAGCCAAGAAACAAAAAAAAATGGAAATGAGGTATTAGTTCCTTTTTTTGGATACTTAGTAATTTTGTATGTCTCATGCAGGTGATTTTAACCTACACGGGAGTAGTATCTTATTTTTTGGAATGTACCTGATGTCAGATGATAATTATCAATATACAAGTGATGAGGCATGCATCTACCAGCTGTAAACTTACAATTATGAACAATACTTTCCAAAAAGATACAACCCCAAAGAGGTGGGATGGAGCCATAATAGGTTTTTTAGTTAATGATAACACTTCATTTCACGGATAATTTAACAAAGATCAAGTCGTACATGAAATATCAATCCCTTGAATATCATTGAAGAATTTAATTTTCATTGCACGTGCAATGCACGTGGTAATTTTTATTATTATTTATTATAAATTTAAAATTTTATTTATGGAAAGATTTGTTATTACATTATTGAATGTAAGCAATGAATCAAACATATAGACATTAGCTAAAAATTCAACATTTGAACAATGAAATTACATTTGGTGATTGATTGGGTGATAGTACACTGATTGCAGCTATAATATGATCGATCAATCAAATATTGTCACAAGAATATAACTCAAAGTAATGTTTGATGATGTGGATATAAATTCAAGCTCATGGCATTAGAAGCTTGACTAAGCCTTTGCAATTTCTTGATTGACATTACAACGATATTTTTGAATGGAACATGCTTTTCGCATGGCAAGTATAAGACTGTACATATCTAACAGCAGGGTGGAGGCCATATGCAATAGGATAGCCTTTTTGCTATATTTACTATAGCTGTCAACATACTATACGAGTCAACTATTAGGTTGACATTATACGAATGCAAAAGCCTACTTGTCTTCAGTATTTGCAATAAAACATAAAATAATACAAACCGTCTTAATGGTGATTCGACGTCAATGATAGGAACATCTTCAAGAGTTGTAGGAGGTTTCTGGACAGGTGCTGACACTGCTGGTAATGGTTTTATTCTAATTTTACGTTCGTCTATAGTCGTCTCCCCATTCTCATCCCCTACATCCGGTGGAATGTTTGATATTGCTATCTCCTCTTCATGTTTATCCCTGGTAAAATAAAGTGGAAGCAATCTGGCAATGCAGAGTTACAAAAGAAGGATCAATAAGTCAACAATTACCTTCACTTACCAAGTTAGAAAAATTCTATCATTTTAATACTTTTGTTATTTTAACAAAAATCATTTCAATTTTCAAAGTAACAGAATATACCAAAAGGTACCTTTTGTATATCTCTGTATCAGAAGCCGTTGTTGTACAAAAGACCACATCATTGTTTATTAGAGGTATTCTAAAGCAATTACGATTCCACCTCATTGTTCCAAGATTACATTTCCACAAAAGCCCAATTACAGAGAGTTGTTGTAAATACATTAAACTGTAGTTCATGCACATTGAGTTTTTAGTAGGTGACCCTTAGTGTTTACTTGATCATCCTATGTTGTTTTTTGGTTGCACGATGCTGCTGTTTGTAATTGATAAGGATTTTGTTACTGTGTTGAAAGGTGTTTCCCCATTGTCTATGTGCAGATGGATAACTACACATTAAGGGTCTAACTTCAGAGAGCACAGGAATCCAATTCTATGCCCGGTCATCACCATCGAGACATATTTTAGAGTTCTTTGATTTTGTTTCATTTTGGTATGAACCTCATCAAGCATTTGCCTAGGACAGCATATGACGACTTCATCACTTGGAAAACAACCAGATATTTGTCCATTTTAGTAATTATTATTAGCTAATCTCGTGTAGCAAAGGTAAATATTTTGTATTTGTTTGGTTGCTTTGTATCACCAAAATCAATTTTTACTTTTCCAATGTCAAGGGATCTGATAATATTATTATCTAATATCTATATGTTGTATCTATTTTGTATTCATCATCTGCATATGTGATTCATGTATCACTTCTTTCTGGATATGCTTGTTCTGTATATTTAGGTGATTGCTCGTGTTACAAAGATTCATGCAATCACGATAATAGCATTATATATTGCGTAGTTATTTGAATTCTTCTATCTTCTTGTATATGATGTATGTTTTTCATGTATCACATCTACCTGGGTATCCTAGTGATCATTGCTGTTATCAAGATGTGTATATAATCAGCACTATCTATCGGTATTCCCATTGCTATGTTATTGAAAGAACTTTTCTGTATGAATTTGATAAGTAGAAATAATCATTTGTACATTAGTTGCCTTTTTTTGTTTCAAACCATTTTAATTTCCCTTGTACTATATGTTCTATTTATTAATTTCAGTGATACCTGGTTCCTACATGCTTTTACTCAGCAGCAGTTCACATATCCCATGCAAATTATGTGTTTTATTTTTTTTATCAGGAACCTTGTGTAGAATAATGGTAACTGGATTTACAAGGGGAGCGGCCAACTTGTGATCCCTTTATGTTTGAAAATGCATGTGAAATTAAAATAATTCTCTTTTATATCTGATTTTGTCTGTATTGATTTAGTTGTGCAGAAAGGATTTAAGTTTCAAACCATTTTAATTTCCCTTGTACTATATGTTCTACTTATTAATTTCACTGATGCCCTGGATCCTACATACGTTTACTCAGCACCAGTTCACATATCCCATGAAAATTATGTGTTTCATTACTCAGCACCAGTTCACATGTTTTATTTTTTTTATCAGGAACCTTGTGTAGAATATGACAAAAAAAGGAAAACAATAGGATATGACATGAAGGATAGGGATCATGAATGACCAACAATCTTATAAGCTTAAAAAACACTCCCATAAGAAAAATATGAACATACGATCAAATTGCAGCCAGCCTCTACCCAAGTACCCTCCAAGCATATTGGTCATACATGCAGCCTACAATTAGACTGATTGCTTCTTAAAGCAATTGCCAACACTTGATTTATTAGCCTCCAGTTCCCAATATAATCATTGGTCTCCTTCTTTATTGAATACAGTATAAATTAGCTACACTAATGCTCTCTAGGAGTTCCGTTGTGCTGGCATTTATTTAATAATCCAAAGAGCGCACAACTATTGAAGGTTACAACTCCAAGTCACCAAGTATCACAAAGCAAGCCCACAGGCCTTGTCTATTGTGGTCAAGGAAATCTTCAACATAATGAAATACATTATTATAGGCTACTTCCTTGTCAGTAGTGTCTATGACAAATGATATTTGTTTGTATTAAGCTAACTTGTAGCACTTTAATCTAGGAGTTCCATTTTGTTGGCATTTATCTAATAATCCAGAAAGCCCACAACTATTGAAGGTTACAACTCCAAGTCACCAGGTATCACAAAGCAAGCCAGCAGACCTTGTCTATTGTGGTCAAGGAAATCTTCAACATAATGAACATATAATTAGAGGCTATTTCCTTGTCAATAGCGTTTATGAGAAATGCTATTTATTTGTATGAAACTAACTTCTAGAATTGACTCACATAAAAACCTTGTAAACATATATGTTATGTTCATATAATGTAAAGCTCAGTATGAGTTAGCTTACCAAGACATCCACCCAAGTACTGGTTCCAAGCAAAATGGTAAATGCCAGCAGAACCTGAGAATAGAGGAGGAATAAAAAGAGATTTAACTTATACAGTCTACATAATCATAGTGTTACTGACACAAAAAAAGACATGCACTACAATTCTCTTTTGTTGTAATATAATATTATTGAAAAAATCATGTCGCACGAGGATCACCAGAAACATGGCTAAACATATTAAATTAAAGGCATATTGGACAATCTACAAAGAAAATCCTAGCAACTGATGCAGGGGGGAAAATATAGAAAAAGAAGGCTTTTGTAACAGGGCATTAATCTGTTTAATTAAATACAACCAAAAATAAATACTAACCCATGGTAAATAGGCAGCGGTAAAAGTGAAAAGGCCCAAGAAACTCATGTGGATGAAAGGATTATGCTTGCTCCAAACATAGACCTTCAGAAAATGTAACGAAGGGGGCCAAAGTTTAGAAGTAGAAAGTTAATCCATATATTGCTGTTCATATATATTGACACTATTTACTTTATATTGGATTTTAGCATACACGTACTATAATTTTTCAAGGCTACATGTTTCATCTTGCTTAATGCATAGTTTTGGACATGACGTACACGGATAAATTTGTTCTACTTGAACATATCTGCAAATAGGTTACCCATGCCAGCATATATAGGAAAATACTAATCTGACAAGTAAAAATTTTGCATATGCTAAAATTGAATTAATAAACAATCAGAAGGCTAACTGAATTATATATATATTATAGACTTACCATCATAAAAGTCAATGAATTACTGAGGAACACAATGCCTGCAAATTTCTCCGACACAAAGGGTATCATTCCACCTAAGAGAACAATTCCAGTCAAAGTAGTGGCACCAAATAAAAGCATGTAAAAGAAATTTGCAGTCCGTCCCCTGAATGAGTTCTCCTCAAGAAGCTTGCAGTATCGAGCAAGGAAAAATACTAAGATCAAGTAGATAAATTCAAGAATATCTTGAGGGCTCAAAATAAAGCAAATACATAAAGTAGACAAAAGAGAACATGAATCTAACGACAGAAATTAGAAATTTATGCGAGAAAGGGCATGAGTTGCCGCCGGAGTTTGATCCTCAGGCGGTGATGAAAAAACATTTAAAAATCAAAACTAAAATTTAGAAAAGGAGCAAATCATACATTCGTCAATGAGTCTCCTTCGTGATCGTAACAGATGGCCAATATCTGAGAAGTAAGGAGATGATGGAAGAGGAGGTGCGGTGATGATGAGAGCTTAGGGCTTAGGGCATCGGTTACTCATCGTTGGCAATTAATGGTTTAAGAAAGTGGGAGGGCGTTGCCGAAGGTGAAGCGTAACCGATGGAGAATGAAAGAAACGAAGGCTTTAGGGCTCCCCATTTTCTTAACTCTGTTTAATGATAAAAAGGGATAAAGTTGTTATATTTACAATAGCTGGAGGGTATTTTGGGCTAGGGAAAGTTTTTCATGAACTCCCTCTTTTATGGCCTGTTTGGATGGAGGGTAGAGAGGGGGAAGGGAAGGGAAATTTCATTTTAACCTTGTTTGGGAGTTTCATTTTGGAGGGTAGAGGAGGGGAATGGAGGGGAAATTTAGCCCAAATTCTTACACCCCAAATTGGGGTGTAATGGAGGGGAAGGGAAGGAAGGGGAAAAATTCCCCTTCCTTCCCCTTCCTTCCCTTCCCTAAGTAAACTCCCAAACACACCATTAAAGGGTAGATGATACCTGCGGAAACAGAGTGATCTATATCATTCACAGTTAGTTAGAGGGTTTGTTTGATAATTATAGGTTTTTCATTTACGTTGTAGATCACCTACTCTTATAGGGGTAGTTGTGATAGGATTTCTATTGTCTTAACTACACCCCTAAAGCATAAATTTACATGTTTCGTCCCTTAAATTTTGTTTGTGAGTTCATATTGTCATTTTATGCTTTATGGGTGAAGTTGAGATAATAGGAATCCTATTAGAATCATTCTCGTAAGAGCAGGGTATCTACATGATAAATGGAAGAGTTGTTATTCCGAAACTAACTGTCTATCTACCTATGAATTAATGATATATATCACCTGTTTTGATAGGATATTCTTGATGGAGTCCTTATTGGATTTGGATCCTCTCTAATATAAAAAGACAGTGGAGAGGCCATTACTCTTATGCTCATCCGTTAATTTTATTTTCTAGGAAGAGATGAATACAACATTTCCTATTCATAATTATAGGAGTCAATTAGCACGATCTCCTATTTTCCTTCAATTTAATCTACTTTCCTATTCTTCCTCCATTTCACCCTCTCTCTCTCTCTCTCTCTCTCTCTCTCTCTCTCTCTCTCTCTTCTCTTTTTTTTTATTTTTT